CTAAAGGAAGCCACAGGCCAGCGGATGGAGAGCTCCAAGCCCACCTGTTCGTCAGCCGTTCTCCCTGCGCTCTGTTACGCAATAGAGACGTGGCCTGACACTGTGGCTACGTTGAAGGCTCTTCGAACACCCACAGAGCGCTGGGACGTCTTCTGAAGTACAACCGATGCACTTTTCAGCGGACTTCGCAGTTCAGATATGAGAACATGTCTGTCTTCGAATGTCTCATCTTCGCGATCCAGCGGAATACTCAAAGGAAAACTCGATGGGCAGGTCATAAAATGAGATGGACAGGCGAAAGATGGACACTAAGAACTCTGGAATGGATTCCTCGCGAAGCAAGTTATTGAAGAAGGCCACTAACCAGATGGGGTAACGTGTTCGTGGCACGAATGGACCAGCTGAATTCTCAGCTGGTAACGATTAATGGATCTGCTTGCTATCGCCGATGCAGTTCATAGTAGCATCGAGGATGACGCTAGCAAGAGACAGAAACGGATGGAAACAATGCTGCGGCCTGCACGAGTGAAGACAGGCCATCTAAGTATCTAAGTAAGTTTAAATCCAAAATTCTCTATGAAATAGCGCCTTGTTGTTGAGATGATAGATGTACGATAGAGGCCGTCATAAGGGTATGCATGAAATTTGGCTTAGTCGCAGTCAAGAGCCATGTACACTGAGCTGGATTGTAGGCTTTCCCATAACTAAGACTGACTTATCATTTTCAGGGCGCGGTTAGGCAAGCGAAACCAAGACGAGAAGCGCGGTCCATCATGCTGAGGAGGGCGGCTCAAGACGTCTCCCCCTTTTCCCCTCCCCCCTGGGCCGCCGGTGCCTGTCCTCATACCAGGTTCACCCCTATCGCGTAACTCTGTAATATGCTTGTGCAATCCTATACTGTCGACTGTATGATCCCTACTAAACTCCACATTATTCTGACGCGAAAGACAAACGTAGAAAAGGGCACGTTTCCACGTTGCGCTAACGCTTTCTCAGCACACACTCATTCATCAAAATTAATAGAAAATACGTTTGAAAAACCATGAACTTGATATCTTGTAGTAAAAAGTGATTTGAAATGGTGTAATGTTCACCGGTGATGAGCCAAATAAACTTTCTAATGAACTTCAAACATCTGACTTCTGCTACGAAATGCTACTTGTTAGTAGTCAGTCTGAACTTCTTCAAAAAAAAAAATTAATTTGCATTATTAACTAATGGGGAAGATGCTATCTTCTCGAGCGTGAACGCGGAAGGTGCCACATTCGTAGCGGTGCGAACACGCAACGCAGCAACTATTAACTAAATTGATAAAAGCAGAAGATACTGTCCCGAAAGATAC